AGGCGTACCGTGGGGTCCTTGAGAGGGCGAGGGGAACGTCGTGGTTCGGTTGATTGCTTACTAGGGGAAGCTGGATTAGCTCGTTGTGAGGCAGTTCGGGGGCGGCGCCCTGTGCTTTGGGAAGGATTTGCACCATCGATCGGGTGGCTGGGCCCGTGCAGGATGATGTTGGCGAGTCGCTGGTCAAGAGACCGAGCTGTGTGAGCCGGGAGGAGACGACTTGTTGGCCGAGTAACTGATCTCGGGCTCAGGCTTGTGGCTTACGAGTTGCAAGTTGGAGGACCGATCTGGCGTGACTGGCTAATCGCAAGTCAGGAACCGATCTGGCACAACTAGGATGAAGACTGGGCTTGTGGGCCGAGGGTCTGCACTCGGGCTTAGGCTGGACTGGCGAGTCATAAGTTGGAGGATCAATCTTGTGCGACTCGGATAAAGACTGGCTAGTCGCAAGTCGGGAACCGATCCGGCACGACTAGGATGAAGACTAGGCCTGTGGGCCGAGGGTCTGCACTCGGGCTCAGGCTGGACTGGCGAAAGTCGGAGGACCGATCTGGCGCAACTCGGATAAAAATTGGCTAGTCACAAGTCGGAGGACCGATCTAGCATGACTCAGATAAAGACTGGCTAGTCGCAAGTCGAAAATCGACCAGGTGCGACTAGGATGAAGACTAGGCCTATGGGCCGAGGGTTTGCACTCGGGCTCAGGCTGGATTGGCGAGTCGCAAGTCGGAGGACCGATCTGGCACGACTCAGATAAAGACTGGCTAGTCGCAAGTCGGGAACCGATCTGGCACAACTAGGATGAAGACTGGGCCCATGGGGTGAGGGTCTGCACTCGGGCGCAAGTCGGGAACCGATCTGGCGCGACTAGGATTAAGAGTAGGCTTGTGGGCCGAGGGTCTACACTTAGGCTTAGGCTGGACCAACGAGTGGCAAGTCGGAGGACCGATCTAGCGTGACTCGAACAAAGACTACCTAGTCGCAAGTCGGAAACTGACCTGGCGCGACTAGGATGAAGACTGGGCTTATGGGCCGAGGGTCTGCACTCGGGCTCTGGCTGGATTGGCGAGTCGCAAGTCGGAGAACCAATCTGGCACGACTCGGATAAAGACTGGCTAGTTACAAGTTGAGAACTAATCTAGCGCGACTAGGATGAAGACTGGGCCCCCATGGGCCGAGGGTCTGCACTCGGGCTCAGGCTGGACTGGCGAGTCACAAGTTAGAGGACCGATCTGGCGTGACTCGGATAAAGACTGGCTAGTTGCAAGTTGGGAACCGATCTGGTGCTACTAGGATGAAGACTAGGCCTGTGGGCCGAGGGTCTGCACTCATGCTTAGGCTAGACTGGCGAGTCGCAAGTCAGAGGACCGATCTAGCACGACTCAGATAAAGACTGGCTAGTCATAAGTCGGGAACCGATCTGGTGCGACTAGGATGAAGATTGGGGGGCGTCGTTGGGCGGTGCATTGGGGTTTGCCCGGGTGCCACCGTGCCACATGGCATGCCTGGTGGAGCGGCGCAGGGCCTGGCGGGAAACTTTTTGTTACGAATGGCTTCTAGCGAGAGATTTCGGGTGACAAGGCGCCTCTGGCGAGAGCTCCGAGACCGACGAATCTAGAGAATCCGAGGAGTTATGATGGGTTTTAAATGCTGCGACCATCTCTCTCCTCGGGAAGCCCAATCGTCGTCTCGCGGTGGATTAGCCTGCTCTTTATAAGCTTCTTCTAGAATAGTTGTCATCATTTTTGCTCAGTCCTTCATCCTACGCCCCAGCTCCTTCCTTCCAACCTTGAGGTCAGGATGTCTCCGTCTTCCTCTTTGTCTTCTTCTTCCTCATCTTCCTCTTCTTCTTCTGGGGGCCTACGGGCTAAAGTTGTCAATCTATCCTCGGATGGCATGCCTTCAGAGGTCACAGGGAGTTCTACTACACTTGAAACCCTCAAGTCGTGGTATGATGTAGACTCGGTGGTGACCGAGGAACTTTTGAGGGTACTTTGGGATCGCTATCGCATCTCAAAGTGCTATGGTGTTCACGCTCCTCGGCTTGGTCAGCGATCGTACGATCAGTTTCCTAACGGGTTTGGGCTGACCGTGGGGGCCCTCGAGGCGGGACTGTGGTTCCCATTGCATCCCGTTATCGAGGAGTGCCTCCGTAAGTAGGGCATATCATTGTCCCAGATGGCGCCGAACTCTTGGCACTCTCTGGTGGCTTTTCTTGGGGAGTGTCGGGGAGCCAGGATCGAGTCGACTAGGACCCTCTCCCTAGCCTGCATCCATCTATGTAAGGGGCGAGGCGGGTATTACCTGATTGCCCGTAGCGGTTTTAAGATCAGTGGCGCTCCTTCCAACAATAAAGGTTGGAAGAGTCGCCTCTTTTTTGTCAGTTGTAGTCAGGGGTGGGGTTATAGTACTGGATGGACTTCCCAAACCATCGACAACACCCCCCCGTTGCTTTCTGTCGGAGAAACAGCGGATGTGAATTGGCTGAGAGGCATCTTGTCCTCTTATCAGGCAATTATAGAGATGATCGAGTGGCTGGTCGAGGCGGGACTGAGCCCAACCGCTGGGGGTATGGTTATTAGCATGTTATGGATCGTCTGCTCGTCTCGAGCTAGCTGACCGACCAGGCTTTTGCTTGCAGAGATGGTGGACCTCTAGTCGGTGAAGAAGGGCACATCGTCTGGGGGTCCGACCAGGCTGTTATTAGCATGTTATTAGCTGTCGCACCACCTTCTGGGGGTGGCGAGGGTTCTGGAGCTAGGGGTGCCTTGTAGAAGAGCACACCAAAAAGGACGCCGGGGTCTTCAAAGGTAGGTCGCCCTCAAAAGAAGGTGAAAACTATGATGCAGAAGACGTATGCGGGCTTGGCTGCTCGCGAGAGTGCCACCCCAGAGTTGTCCAAGGCTGCTCCCCAAGGCGAGGGCTCGAGGAGCGTGAGAGGAAAGGGGGTGGTCGGATCGTCCGGCAATGACCCCTTAAAGAGGCCACTAGTGCGCCCAAAGTCAATGTTAGACCTGTGTCGCATCCATTCTCAAGCCGAAGGCGAGTGGTACC